GTCTCCTGCTCCTATGCGTTTCTGCCTTAGCCGTCCTCTCTTCAATAGACGTGTGTTTTCCCCATTTTATATTTAATTTTTGCCCTAATTATTTTGTAGATGGGCTTTTGGGCCTTTAATTAATTTCTCATATCAATAGGGTGTAGTTAGTCATGGTCATGACTAATTAGGTTGTGCAAATCTGAATTTTTCTTCCCTTTTTCTGCCAATTATGCCAAATTTGATATTTGCCCTCTACACACAGCAAATAAACAATTTGCATATAAATTAGGTAGAATCCAATCAAAGTCACTCAAATATCACATATGATATGAATATAAAATGCATGCGATTTCCAACTATCACTGGGTTAAAATTACTGTAACTAATTTTGGTACATAAATAAAAATTCGAGACACATTACTCTGACATTTTCTTTGTATAGTGGAATAATTTTGGAGTACATAATTAGATAATATATGTTTATATAAAAAATAATGGGAGTATATACAATATTTGTTAACATTATATGATGATTTCAGGGGTAAAATAGGTACTAGGAAGTCAAGTGTAAGTTGAAATGAAATGTAGGGAATGCAGTGATTTTCCAAAATGGAGAGAGACTGACATAATTTTTTTTATCACACAGGAATTTAAACTCAAGTGTCCCTTCCAATAATGAAAGAATAATTAATGCTATCGCAGGGAGGTAGAGCATGTTTGATTAAAACTGTCTGTATGCCTTGCCGAATTATTTTCTATCAATTTTTCGGATGCCGAGATGAGTGGCAAAAAAAAAATAGAATAAGTTGAAAAAAAATTTACAGGGGGATGGTGAAGATAAAACAAAATTGAGAATGTTGAGTTGGGGGTTAATTCAGCGTCCTAAGAAATTATGTGGCTTAGGAGTGGAAAATGTCTCTATGTCCAACCTTGCACTCTTATACAAATGGAAATTGTGGTTCCAAGAAGATAAGCAATTGTGGAAACAAGTTGTGGAAGGCTTGGGGTCGATTAGAGGGAAGGATAGATCTTGTTTGATTCCCAAATTAAGGGGGATAAAAGGTTCGATATGGTATCATATAGGGAAAACTTGACCGAACTTTGAAAATCACTTGCCAGTGGATACGCAGTTGCAGACTATAGTTGGAAACAGCCTCAAAACGAGATTCTGGCAGGATAATTGGGTGAGAAATGCTAGGATGAAAGACCTTTTCCTGCTTATCTTTGCATTATCAATTATGAAGGATGAATGGATCTCCTCTTTCGGAAAGTGGTCTGAAGGCAAATGAAGTTGGTCGATTCGGCTCCGAAGAGAAGTTTTAAGTTGGGAGGTGGAAATGTGGGTGGATTTTATGACTCTTATTAACTCTTCATGTCTGAGGCAGGGTCTTGAGGATATTTGGACAGGGACATCTAATGGTATCTTTACGACAAGGGCAGGAAGTCGAGCAATCCAAAGAAATCTTCCCATTGACCTTACAACAGACTTTATTTGGAAGAGCTCTGCTCCACACAAAGCACGAGTATTATTGTGGAGAATATTAAATAAAAGGGTACCTGTTCGAATGGAATTGATAAGGAGGGGTTTGTTGATTGACAGGGGAGTGGAATGCCCATTGTGTGGTACAGTGGAAGAAGAATCTGATCACTTATTTATTCATTGTAAGTTCGCATTCCATTTATGGGGAACGGTAGCGGGGTGGTTTGGAATCTTATGGTCAATCCCAGAGGATGTCAAACGTCTGGTTCTGTGTTGGAAATATCTACAGAGGAATAGATCATTAGATGCTATATGAGAAATTCTTTGTTTTGCAGTAGTTTGGTGCATTTGGATCTCAAGGAATGAATCAGTCTTCTAAGGAAAATCAATATCCGAATATAAAATGGTAGAGAGGGTAAAATGGATTTCATGGAAATGGTTTCATGCGTTGTATCCTGGTTTGTTCAGTCCTACAGTGTTATTTAATGATAATTTGGAGCATTTTCAAGTAATTTCTAAGGAAATTAGAGTGGAAAGCAAAGCCAATTTACTTTGGATTCTTCCGTTAAGAGGTTAGTGAAAAATTAATGTAGATGGCTTAGCTTTGGGACGTCATGGGGCCGCAGGAATTGAAGCAGTGGTCTGAGATGATATAGGTGTGATTATTCTGATATGTCAAAATATATTGGTGTAGTTGAGTCGTTAAGTGCGGAGTTGGAGGCAGTGTGGCAAGTGCTTGAGGAGATTCAGGTGTCAGTGGGGTTTCCGGTTCCAAAACTGAGCTTGAAAAGTGACTCTTCAACGGTTGTTTCGTGGCTCCAAAGAAAATCCCAATATCCGTGAAGATTTGATGCCAAAGTCCAGGTAATTTTTAGCTTTCTCGCACATTGTTCTGTTGAAGTTGCTAGGGGAAGCTTAGACTTGGTGGTTTGGTTATGAGTGGGTATAGTTGTTTGTATTCATATGTGATGGGTTATTATGTGAACGGAAACAAGTTGATTGGAGAAATTACAGAAGAGGATTATAAAGGAAGAACATATATAGGAGTGACAGATGGTTATCGGATTATAAGGGGTGATGACTACTGCTGATTTTTTTTATGCAGTGTATTGGATGTTAAAAATTAAATTTGAGGCAGTAGTGTTGATTCAACTTTGGCTGGCTGAAGGATTGGTGAGGATGGCAATATTGAAGAATCTGTTAAATGTAGGGATGGACAAAAAAATCGAACCGCCGTCGAACCGTTGAACCGAACTGAATCGAACCGAATTTTCGGTTAACCGAGCAAATTCGGTTCGAATACAAATACTGCATATTTGATATTTGCTCGGTTCGGTTTGGTTTCGGTTTTTTATATTTTTTTCGGTTAAGTTTGTTGCAGGAACTACATTGAAAATTGAAAGTACCTCGAGTTATCAAAAGCATTATCTGATTGACCACAACTACATTCGCACAGCCACATTCGGTGAATTCCTTTCCGTATTAAAAATGAGCATCTTGTCTTCTGAAACCAAATCTAATATCTATTTAAGAAACTTATAATAAGTTAATCTCACAAAAAAAATCAACCAGAAATAAGGAACCGGAAACCTGAATTTTTGCGCGGTTTCTTGAGCAAAGGTGAAAGAAAAATCCTTCAAAACATCAACACGCTTCATTTGCTGCTCTAATCTCGAACACTCAACCAACAATGATCATCCTTAATTCTGGCAAAATTAGTTCATAAATTGGTCATCCCGACGAATCAAATAATAATAAATGCAGCAAATCCAATGCACGTAATCGGTGATCCCTAAAGAAATTTCCAAGACTGGAACCCAAATCAAGATTCATCAGGAAATCAATAGCAGTGTTCTTCACATGCCTAAAACGCCAAATCCCTTCAAAATATCGAAACCCAATTGTAATTCCAGACCCATTTTCACAAAAATTAAACCCAATTAAGAATCAACTAGAAACGAGCGCAAAATCGAATAAGATCATCTCCAACCTATAACTTACTTTTTCTCTTTGCAGGGTCTATAGTACATTTCTCTATTTTTTGCAGGACCGCTACAATAACGTATTTATTTTTTAACCCTGGTTGGAGATGGATTACTATAGCAGACCCTGCAAAAATGGATAAATGTACTGTAGACCCTGCAAAAATAGAGTTATGGGTTGAACATGGTAAAATTCATGTCTAAGCGATCTATTGCATATAGCGACGAGGAAGATAAGTTGTTGTGTGAGATTTTTTCGGAGCATACTCAAGATGCAATTATGGGTGCGAGGTCAATCCAAGGAAGCTTTTTGGAAACGGATTGTTGAAACATTCAACGATCAAAACAAGAAGGATAGTCAGTCTGAAGTTGCCTACCCACGTACGTTGAAGTCATTGGAGGGTCGATTTTGATTGATCCAAAATCATTGTAGATTATTCCTTAGTTGTATTAAAGATGCGGAGGATTTGAAGAAAAGTGGAGCATCTGAAATCGACACGGTAAATTAATGTTATTTTTTATTTATAAATATTATAATATTTTAAATTTAATATAAATAATTTATAATTATTTTACCATAATCAATTAATTATAAATTTTAATAAATATTAAATAAATAAATAATTTACTGTAAATATTAATTACAAAATTATAATAAAAAATAATAAAATTAAAAGTAACAAAAATAAAATAAAATATAAGCTTAAAACAAAATAAAAAAAAGAATAAAAATAAATAAAATATAAAAATATAAAAAAAATAAAAAAATTAAATGTAATTTTTTTATTTTGTTGATGATATTTAAAAAATTAAAAATTAAATAAATATAAAAAATAGATAACTACATAAATAAATAGATAAATATTAAAAAAAAATAGATAACTATATAAATAAATAGATAACTTTATAAATAAATAGATAATTGTATTAAAAAATAAAAATAAAAATATACCCGCCGGAGAATTCTGCAAAACTGCAAGCTGTGTTGGAGCAATTTTTTTCTCCCCGCCCTGCAAAAATAGAGAAAAACCTCCTCGGTTGGTTGGAGATAGTCTACGGTTGGAGATGGTCTAAAGCTACCTAATTTTACAAAAAAATATTATGGATGCGAGATTGAAGGTAAAATCGGTGATACAAAACAAGTCATCACCAATTCGTGTGCCCTACACGCAAATGGTTAGTTCAGAGTTACACCAATCTTAAAATTTTTTGTTTTACGTGCCCGTGGAGGCGAGATTGAAGACAAATTGATGTTCGTGCGTCTCTATGCACCGGTGAGTTTAGAGTTACAAATTTTAATTTATTTTTTTTAATTTTGTATGGCTCATATTTTATTTTTTTAGATTCAATAAGACAAGTTATATTAAGTCAACGTAAATTTTGATGCGTCATAGTTTGAATTCGCGATTCAACCGTCACAAGTTCCACTCCGAACTATTCCTTAAGAAATAACATATCTCACTTGTACATATAAAAAATACGGGTAGATATAAAAAGTAAGGGTAAAAAGGATAACTCATCCGTTTATATATATATAATTTTTTTTTTTTTTTTTTTAATATTACGTAGCAATATTCCATTGCGGTGCAGTGCAGTCGTCGTTCCTGGACTCTGCTCGCCTGGATCCATTGCTTACATAACCCGTTGTATGAGAGCAGCTTTTGATCGCTCACTGCCGCCACGAAATGGTAAACTTCCGCTATCCTTAAAAAACTATATTTGTGTGCATTCAAGTGCAGCGGTGGAAGAAGTTGCCGAGGCTTGGAAATATATATATATTTAAATATAAATGCAGATCTGTTGTTTATGGATTGGATCGGTATCTTATTGCTGTGGGATAGTGAGGGAAATTATGCAATTCAGCGGTTATGATTGTTAGGGTAGGCGGAATTAGGAGTAGAGGTTTGGGATTTTAAATTCCACCGTGTGGTCTAGTTTATGTGTGTTGGTGTTTTGGAGAGAAATTTGGTTATTACATTTGGTGGAGAATGACCATGATTGGCCTGCTCTTGTTTGTGATTCTAGATTGGGATGACGATATGTGGAATCGGGCTTTGACGGCTCAATGGAGGGGATGAGGTTTTTAGTAAGATTTCTCAAGAATTTGATATGGCTACGAGAATAATCAGCTGTTGGTTTTGGTAGTATTTGGAAACTTGGTGCTTAATTTCAGTTTCATATGTATAGGTTATAAGTAAATTATATAATTGACCAGTGAGTGCTTAGTGTGGAAACTAATTTGCTTTAATGGTGGCTGGAAATTTGTTTCAACTTCTGTTTACAATGGTGGCACGTTGGTTAATAATTCAATACCTGGCTATGCTGAGAGCAAACGGTGTCTTACTAAATAATATTATAAGTGTGTATTGTATGCTTATGAGAGATATCGGAATGTGATATTTTCACAATTTAGCATAGCTGCTAGGGGTTTTGTAATGACCATGTTAATTAACAACCAGCACAACAAAGTAGTTCAAAGGTATTGCCAGCGAGTAAACAGTTTTTAAAGTATGTGCTAGAGTGCACAGCAACAGTGTACACTTTTCTACACCAAAGGATGAGAGAATTACAATTACCCCAACAGTGCCAAGAATGAGTAGTGGGCAGACAATCCATTGTTCAAACTCCATTACAATGATTGGATGATACCAAGGATGGGTTTGTTGAATGTCGTAGTCCATGAAACAGAGTATATCTGCATTGCTGCAAAGAATGGGTTGATTGAGGTGCACTCGGGAACTGATTCATTAGATGACAGTATGTCAGAAATCAGGTATAGTAATAATTGAAGTTAATTAGAGCTTACTAAAAACTGCCAATACTGTAGAATCCTCAAGAGGAGCGTTTTCGATATGTTTTAGTTTGCTGTTGTGCTCTACAGAAATGGAAGAAGTTTTGCTATCACTTCAGTTACACCATATGTAAGGGTGTTTATGAATTATTTATTGATTATTAATTTCCATTATCTTGAATCACAATATTACTTTACTGAATTTTAATTTAATTTTAATTTTTCAATTTTACTGAACAATCTGTTTTCCCAAGAACTTTCCTGACAGACACTGAACTCTAATTTAGCTGACAAATTGATGAGACAATAAAACTTCATTTCTCTTGGATTAGCTATACAGAGAACAAAGGCGTGGTGGGGGGAATAAAATAAAATAATGCCTGAACAATCTATGTTTAGAGGTTACATTGATATTATCTTTTGTTACAGTTGTTTCACTATTTCCCAATATATTGAATAATTAAGCCAATTTTTGGGAAATAGTTTTGAATCCTTTATATTATCATTTTCACTTCTTATGTGGCTGGGTACCATTTCATGTTGGATGACACTTCCGCTGTGAGATATTCAACATCTAGAGGTAAAACTTGAGCCAACAGTTCATAAAGATAGGGAATTTTTTATAATGTGCGAGCAGCATACCATCTACCATGATTCTGAAGGACCACTACAAGAATAGATGTTCAAAATGTATAATTTAGAAGGCACTCAGCTTAAATAAAATTTGTTGATACAATTCTGTATCCATTTAAACTTTTGGTTCAGTGTTTTGACAGCTGTGCCTTATTCCTAGTATTAGTTGTTCATTTACTGAATCTCTTAATAACATCCTCACGGCTACAGACTTTTATTTATGTCTAGTCTATATAAAAAAGATGACATAACTGTCAACAGAACTGCCTCTGCAAGTTGGTTAGATCAATTTGGTTTCTGGAAATTCAAATATGCAGATATCATTTTATCTTCCCTTGGAACTGAGTGGTGATTATAATGTCTAGATACTGTCAGCGTATCTAATCATGTAAGAATAATTTCTTCAATTAGCACGATAAAGACAGATAAGACTTAGTGTTGTGTCCCTAGTATATGAGCTTTCCAGTGTCCAAAAATGGATCGAAAATTTTAAAGCTAGATGGTGACAGAACCTCTCTTATCACTTAGAATCAGGTTATATAATTAATTGGTAAGACTTCTATTGCATTTCCTCTTTCTGTCTTTTACCTTTTACAACATTGATTATGTGGATAAGTTATTTCTTGTCAGGAAAAGGAAGCAAAGAAAGAAGCTTTCAGAAAGTATCTGGAGTCCAGTGGAGTTCTTGATGCACTTACAAAAGGTAACGACCATTTTGACATTACAAGTCCATTGCGGATATTAAGCTTTTAGATTCTATTTGTGGTGATTTTTGTCCTTACTTTGACTGCAGTTCTTGTTTTGTTGTACGAGCAGAATGACAAACCTTCCTCGGCAATTGAGTAAGTGCACCACATGGCTCATGCCCATAGCAATGTGTTTTAAGTAGTTCCATACATAAGCTACATTGAGTTTCTAGTATAATCTGGTGCGCTTGAGTTTGACTGTATGAGTTGGTATCTTGGATATAGTTCATGAAAGAATGCATCCCAGTTTTCTGAATTGATACCTATTACCACACAGACTATAAATTCGACTCAGAAATATAAGAGCATGTTGATACTCTATTCTAATTAATCAAAGCTATTTGGCTTATGTCACTTCCGTTCTCCTTAAGCATAGTCACAATTAGAGCTGTCAAAACGGGTTGGCGGGACGGATTAGCCTACAACCTACCATAACTCGCAAATAAGCGAATTTATTTGCGGGTCAACCCGTGGCAGGACGGGCTAAAATTTAGGTAGCCCAGCCCAACCTACCGGCGGGTGGCGAGCCAAGTGGACTAACCTACAGGCTTTTAAAAAATCTTACAATAATTATTTTTTATATATTTAAGATAAAACATAGTTATATTTTATAGTTTAAATAATAAATATTTCAAAAAAAATGTATAACAATAAAATATTTAAACAATAAATAGATATTATTCTTATGAATCTTTCAATAAATTATAAAAGAAAAAAAATTAAAGATAAATGAAAGATGGATAAAACTAACATAAAAAATTGAAAAAATGAAAACTTGCAATATCATCAATACAGCGATAAACGAGAGAAACATCCGCAGACAATATATATTGGTTATTTTGTTTAACATGATATGGAAGATTTTAATAAATTAATTATTTGATTTAACTTGATATAAAATATTAATAAAAACTATAATAAGATATAATATTTCATCAATTCATATGTATATATATGTTTGGTTTTTTATTAAAAATTATGAATATTAGTATTAAATAATGATGATGATTTTCGTTGTAATAATATTTAAGCTATAATAATTTTCTAAAGTTATGCAGTAACCACAATTACTAAAAATAAAATAAATAGATTAATTTCGGACAAACTAAAATGACAAAAAGATAGACTCATTTAAAATATTAAAGATATAATATAATTATAATTATATTTATTTGGTTCACGGGCTAATCCGCCCCACGGCGGGCCAACCTACTTTCAACCCGCAGCCCGCGGAGTTGGCTCGTTTAGGTCTGTATTTTAACGGATTTAAAAAATTGAAACCCAACTCTCTTTAAAAGTTGGGCGGAGCGGGCCAACCTACTTTCAACCCGCAGCCCGCGTGAGTTTGCTCGTTTAGATCCATATTTTAACGGATTTAAAAAATTGAAACCCACCTCTCTTTAAAAGTTGGGTGGAGCAAGCCAACCCGACAGACTCAACTCATTTTAACAACTCTAGTCACAATTATGACATAAACCACTTATATGGGTTGTTGCACAGGTTCATCCAGCAGAAGCTAGGGGGTCCAAGCCTTGCTGAATATGAAAAGTTGCAAGCTGAAGTTTCTGATTTACAATTACGTTACAATGAACTTTTAGCTGTGCACCAAGAGAAGTGCCAAGAGGTATATCATGAATGTGTTTGTACCTTTTGTTTTTGGCTTGTGTCTACATTACCTTGGGTTTCTGGATGTTGATTTTGATGCTGGACTGGAAAATAAAGATTACAACTCCCTGATTTTGTTGCACGATAGTGTCATAGGGGTGCTTGTTCTTTCTTGAGAACTAGGGTTGTAGAGTTCTTCGATTATATTATTGTAGATATGATTACTGTAGATTTTCTGCTAATTTAGTAGTATCTATTCTGTTTTCATACTCTTGCAGTACGAGGACCTTAAGAGCACTCATGTTCAATCATCGTCAAATGAAAAAGTAGAGGAAACTCCCATCGCAGGACAATGATGGCAATCCAAAGCAACTATTTGGCGGTACTCAATATCTCCCTTTCCTTGTTGATTTTGCTAGACTAGTCACTCACTCGCTCACTATTCGATGTGTTGGTGTCATATGATACTGCTGCAATTGCTGTTATAACTGTGTCTTCAAGAGATTCTTATTGGTCCATTTAGAAGTGAAGTTGAAAACTAAAGTAAAGATCTAGAATGACAGAAGGTTGATCCCTTAATTTGATGTGATATAACTATTCCACTGTGATTGAACATCATAAGAGACTGAGACACCATCACATTTGTTGAATTAATGAAGCTCCCATTCCCATAACCATAGCTATGCTAGCTTAAGATATTACATAATGTGATTTTGGACTAAAGTTGCATAGTGTGGCTGAATTGCTTGACGATTATTAATTATTCTGTTCATTGCATTGGGTGTGCTCCAATGGTGCTGATGCTTTGTTCTTAATTCCTTTCTTGGTTTCAAGATGGCCATATGTTTCCAAGTATGTTGGTGCAATGATGGTACATACAATTGAGTAGTGTACACTAATATTATGAGCTTAATAACTTTGACAAAAAGCACAAGCACATGAGAATGTGTATATTTATACCATTTTTGTGTAGATTGAAAATCATCGTCATCATATTATTATTAAGATTAATCACTTCCACCGTACCCCAGCCACCATCCTCCTCCGTACTAAGGGCATATTTTTTTGGGGGTTTGGATTTTGAATTTGGATTTGAATACTAAAACATTTGAATTGGAATAGTTATATGATTAGATATAAATAACTGTTGATATGATATTTTAAATGTAAAATTGATTTGAGCAATATAGCGTAATTTATGGCTTGCTTGGATTGTAATTTTCAGGTCAGATCCTCAAATCATGCAGACATTTATTTAGTTTACACATCCTAGATAGATAGAGAGATGTCTGCATTAGAAAATGCTCAAAGGAAAAAGTAGTTATCAACTTCAGTTTGGTCTTCCTTTGTGTTTAATTTGTAGGGCAAGGCAGGGCATTCGCCAATTAATCAAACTTCAATATAACTTTTTAGATTTGTAATGTATGTTTGTAACAAGTCATGTCATTGAATTTACTGTTTATTATCTTTTTCATTCCCCGGCCGGCCTTACAGTCACCTGCAGGATCTATTTGAGTTCTTAATTATTCCAATTTGACCACTAATCTATGGGTTGTACTATCCTATGATGGACTTCATATTTTTATAGGCCTTGATGATGATGATGATGATGAACTTTCAATGTGAAAGTTTTACTTTTGAAATGGACTTTAGAGATTAGAGGTGTCTCGGCAATGGAATACAAGTGTATCATATTGTAGTTCAAGAGCATTTATCAAATAATAATATTCTGATGTGAGTGATAGATTGAACTAAGGACATTCAATATTGGGGAAAACTTACATAAAAGTGCATGGGAGCTTATGAAGTCAAAAATCCAGATTCACTTGCATTTGAATGTTGGCGAGGTGACGAGGGAATGAATGTTGACGAGTGAATGCTCGTGATCTCGTGAGGGTATTTTATAGGCGAAATGGATTAATGGTGAATGATGATGATAAGTACATAAAGGGTGTGAAAAACGGGTGTGAAAAACGGAAACAGTTCCCTCCGGGGAGAGGGGGGGTGAAAGTATGTATAAATTGTCTGTGAGAGTGTTTCGTGAAAGTGATTATATATTATCTGTGCTTGCTAATGTACTTTGCGATCACAATGACTTAGACCTATAGGCAATTGCGGAAAGATAAATCGATCCTCAATTATTAAGCTAATGTTCCATTTCTGAAATTATATTTTTATGTCCGGCAAGCCGTTCTCCTTGACACTTGCGATTGATTAATTAAGAAATCAAAATCTAATACTTACCTTTGCTAATCATTATAAGTTAAATTGCATTCAAGGAGTCCTTTTAAAACTTTCCAACTAGATTTGGTTAAGTAGTTTATGTTCGTGTTTTAGTCAAGGTTTATGCACAATATTTCGTGAAACAATTATTTATATGTGTCAGTGTGTGTTGGAGAGACGAAGAATAAAACCTCCTATCTTATATATCTATATATTTGAACTCAATGTGGACTTCATTTTAGCAAAAAAACTTGAATTTTTGGGATTTCTTAATTGTTTTTTTTTTTTTCCTAATTTTTATTGGTCCTAACATTTGATTGATGTGTTGTATATGTGGAGCCTATTTTATTGGTTGTACAATTCTATTGATTATAATTGTTTTAAATGAATTTTAAGAGTTTTTTTTATATTTTTTTTATTGGTTGTAGTCATATTATATATATATGTATATTAATTGATTATGTATTGTGATTTTTTACTTATATATTTTGAGTTTTTAAAGAATTATTATTTTTATAAAATATTTATCTTAGATCTTAAATAATATGATTTATTTGATTTTATTGTAATTTAAATTTTTGGTTAAATAAAATTTTAGTTTAAAATGTACATATTTTACATATATTAATAAAAAAATATATATAAATTACAATATAATTAAATATTTGGAAAAAAACTAGGGTGCAAATATTAATAATCAATTATATTAAGGTATATTATATATTTTTTTAGACCATAATAACATTTAAATTAATGGAGTAATAAATTAGGGTGAATACAAATATTTTTTAATAATAAAATATTGGAAAAAATAATTCAAAATTAATAGAATATTTGAAATATTCGGGTGTGTTTGCTTGGGGTTTGGATTTTGAGTTGGGAATAGTAAAAATTTTGAATTTGAATAGTTGTATGATGTGATATAAATAGGTGTTGATGTGATGTTTTGAATGTAAAATTGATTTTCAGTATAATATAAAAAATAAAAAATAGGTGTTTGATTTGATGTTTTTGGAGGGAAAAAATTGGATGAATAGTGAAAAAAAAAATCCAATCCCCCAAACAAACACACCCGAAGAGACACATTGGAAAAAGAAAATGAACTCAAAATTAATTGAATCATTTAGAATACAAAGAGGCCGCAAATAATTTCTAATCAAATGAATCTTCGAGAGTACACATGTATAAGCAGTCCCCATCTATTTATATAGGTACAAATTGGGTTTAAGATCATGTATTTACCAAAAATTACACAGACGTTGATGCTAGGTACAAGCTGCTGGGGGCCTGCGGCAATGGCGCTATGGCATGACGGCTGCTTGCGGATCGGAGAGAAAAGACAGTGACAGACGTTAACGCCACTCCACGCCTTTGCGCCCCCCCCACGGATGTGCGGTGTCTGTTGTTTTATGGTATGACCCGTCGTGGCGGTGAAAGAAATCAAAGAATTGCTTCCATACATACCCAAAATCTTCAATTTCTTGCCCAGTGGAGGTAAGAAAACATCTATGATTTCATTCCTTTAATGGGGTAGTTGTAGTGATTGGATAGATGTGCAGTAGAAGCAATGAAGGTGAAGTTATGTTGTTGAGAAATTTCCTACGTTCTTCGCATAAAAAGGTTTGCCCACAATCATCTTCGAAGCCCTGTTGTTGAAGGAGAGAACTTCTGGAGAAGTAAAAACTAGACAAAATTGATTAGGGTAAGGCCAGTGTCGAAGAAATATTTTTCAGTCGGAGGGCGGGTTGGGGGTGTGAATGTGTGACCGCCTCTGGAAATATCTCCGCCGTAGTACTGAACTCTATTGCGTTGTTCCAAAGATCTGTTTCTTTTCAAGTTTTTGGTATTGTTTGTTATATATTATTATTGTGTTATATATATATATATACATATATATGAATGAAAGGGTTTATTATATGTATGATATACTTCTTTCGTCCGTCAAATTTACTTTCACTTTTTTTTTTTTCTTTTTAGTCTGTTTGTTAAATTTACCTCATTACTAATTTTGACAAAGTCAACAAATCAATATTTAACTATTATCCTCCATTCAACACTTATTTACAACAAATGTCACAATCTTTATTACATTATCTCTCCTCATTTTTTTAATTTCTAACTTACTTTTTAAAATATTCCTAACTACCTTTTTACTTAAATTACGTTTTTAATAAAATATTTATTTTTCTTAATTTTCATGCCGGACTTAAATATTCTAATTTTTGCAGACGAATGGAGTAATTAACATGTATGGATAGATGTCTTGATGTATTGCTGTTACGCACAATATTACATAAAAGAAAAATATCGTGTCTTCTTTTGCTTTTCCTTTACCTTCTCCCTTTAGATTTTTAAAATGTTATTATAAAATATTATAATTGAAAAAAGATTATTTTTTGAGTATAAATGTGTTTAGACAAAAATATTTACATAATTGACATGAAGTTTATTAAAGATTACTATTAGTTTGTCTATTTCATCAAATGCCTGTGAGAACCATTACTCGAAGTCGAGCTCATTAGTTTTAAGAATACATCACTGCATTGAAGCGACGATTTTTCTTGGAGAATAAATTTAAAAATATGCTTGTAGATCACTTAGCCCTCACCTGACACTACTCCAATGGGACCCGTAAGAATCGGAATTGAAATATCAAAAGAATTGCTAATTTTAAACATTATCAAGGAAATCGCCAATTGTGGAAAATTATCAAGAGAATTAAAAATTATGAAGGATTATCAAGAGAATCATCACTTGTTTCTTTTATTATAAGTTTTCATATAGTATAATTTCATATCTAGAATTTTTTATTATTATTTGTTTCGTTGTAGTTAGACTTATTTTTTGGTTTGTTTCCTTTATTATTTGGTGCATTTTATTTTCCTCAAGGACCTCTGTCTAAGATCTTTGTCTATCATTGTAATGAGAATTTTACATCTTGAATCAAATTTTACTTTTATAATTTTATAGTATTAGAGAGTGATTTCCTTATATTTAGAGTCTTAAATCGGGTCTTTGGAGTGAGATTTATTATATTGTTTGTGTTTTAGTTTATGGTTTTTTATTTCAGGTTCGAGACTTTGTTAATTCATATTCTCTGCACTATCCTTTCTTTTTTATTCTCTCTTCTTTCACCTATATTCCGAACCATTGCATAAGGTAATTATTTTGGACATAATTATACACGATTAGGCCATGTCAGCAACCATGCATCTTTCAAAATCAAATGAGTGGGAACCATGGTGTTAAAAATGACCTCCGGAAACGATTGACCCTGAAGGATGTTCGACACATGCCAGACATCCGAAAGAACCCTGTATCGGGTTCACTATTAGTTATATATGGTTTTAAACTAGTTTTTGTAGCGGATAAATTTATGTGATTGAAAAAACGAAATGTTCTTAGCTAGATGATATCTTTCCAATAGAATGTTCAAGCTAAGTGTAAGGACAGTGTGCCGAGCACCCAATAATAATAATAATGCTTCTTCTTCATCGTATTTGATTGAGTGTTCCAATTTATGGCATTGTAGATTATGACATATTAATATAAATTCTATAAAAAGATGAATAAATCTTAATTTACTAAGTATTAAAGAAGTAAACATAAAAAATAAGTGTAAAGTTTGGGTGGAGGAAAAAATTGCTAAACAATCATTTTCTTCAGTAGAAAGAAACATGAAACCATTGGAATTAATTCACACGGATGTGTGTGATTTGAAATATGTGCAAACTCGAGGTAGCAAAAAATATTTTATAACCTTTATAGATGATTGCACAAAATATTGATATCTTTACCTATCGAGGAAAAATGAGAAGCAATAGAAGCCTTTGAAAACTTCAAAAATAAGACGGAGAATCAACTAGGATGTAAGATTAAGGTTGTTCATAGTGATCGATGTGGCGAGTATGTAGCTCCGTTTGAAGAATTATGTAACGGGAGTGACATAATTCATCAGACTACGGCCTTATATTTACCACAATTGAATGGCATCACAAAATGCAAAAATCAAATCTTTAGAGAAATGATAATTGTCTTGTTGATTATTTCAGGATTACCCCAAAACTTGTGGAGGGAAGCAGTTTTAACTTTAAATTATATTCTAAACAAAATTTCATTTAAAGGTAAGGATGTAATTTTTTATAAATTATGGAAACGCAGAAAACTTTCATACAAATATTTAAAAGTGTAGGGATGTCTGGCATAAGTGGAAGTACCCGCCTCCGAAGCAAGTCGTTATTGGCCCGAGTGATTTGTATAAACCAAAGTTTGGGATCTCCAAGTGATTTGGTTGGATTACCACTGTAATTGTCTCTTAACTTGTGAATTTCAGACCCATTACTTTTAGCAATTTGAATATTTGATCACGATATAATCCTTTGATTAGTGGATCCGCAAGGTTTTCTATTGACCTTACATAGTCGACAATTATAACCCTACTAATGATCAATTGTTTCACATTATTGTGTTTGTGTCGGATATGTCAAGATTTATCATTATAAATTCCATTATTAGCTTTTTCTATAGCTGCTTGGCTATCGCAATGTATAAAAATTGGAGGTATTGGTTTTGTCCAAAATGGCATCTAGAAAATTTCTAAGTCATTCGGCTTCTTCACCAACTTTATCTAAAGTGATGAATTATGATTCAATGGTGGACCGAGCAATATAGGTTTGTTTCATAGACTTCAATGAAATTGCTCCTCCTCCGATCGTAAAGACATATCTGCTTGTTGACAGCGAGTCTTTCGTATTCGATATCCAGTTAGCATCACAGTACCCTTCAAGTACTAAAAGATATCTAATGTAGTGTATGCCAAAGTCGAGAATATATTTTGAATAACTCAAGACTTTCACTAGCGTTTTCCAATTATCATGATTTGGATTGCTAGTATATCAGCTAAGCTTGTTCACTGGAAAAGCTAAATTAGGCGTTGTACAAGTAGTTAGGTATATAAAGTTTCCGATATCTAGTTATCACAGTACCCTTCAAGTACTAGAGGATATCTAATGTAGTTTATGCCAAAGTTGAGAATATATTTTAAATAATTGAAGACTCTCACTAGCGCTTTCCAATGATCATGATTTGGATTGCTAGTATAATGGCTAAGCTTGTTTACTGGACAAGCTAAATCGGGTTTTGTACAACTAGTTAGGTACATAAGGCTTCCGATTATTTTGGCATACTATTATTGAGCAACAGGATCATCTTGGTTTTTGGTAAGGTGAAGACTTAGGTCCATAGGAGTTTTTGTTGGAGTATTATCGAAAGCATTGAACTTTCTCAACATACAGTGACTGGGTTAGCACAATTTCTTCGTCATTTCTCAAAATTTGAATTCAAGAATCACATATGCGACTCCCATGTCTTTCATGTGAAAACTCCGACTTAACATGCATTTAACTTTTTCAACTAAGAAAATTTCTTTCGCCATAATTAAAAGATCATCTAACATAGACATACCATAAGAAATCCAGTAGGAGTTTATTTGATATAGACACATTTGTCATATTCGTTAATTTTGAAGCCATTCGATAACATTATATTATCAAACTTCAAGTGTCATTGCAAAGGTGCTTGTTTCAGTCTATACACGACTTAACAAGTTTACACACATTCTTCTTTTGGCCAGGAACAATGAACCTTTCAGGTTGTTCCATATAAACTTCTTTTTCTAACTCACTATTAAGAAAAACAGTTTTTACATCCATTTCGTGAATCTCGAGATTGTGCAAAGCAACAATCAAGAGAAGCACCCCGATGGATGTTATCCTGGTTACCGGTGCCCTTCAATTTTTTAAAGCCTTTTTTCACGAGTCAAACTTTATACTTATCAATAGATCCATCAACTTTGAATTTATTTTTCAAAATCCATTTACACCCTAAAGGTTTACAACCTTCGGATAAGTTTATTAACACCCACGATTATTTTGCATGATAGATTCTATTTCATTGTTGATGGCTTCTTTTCAAAATGGGGTATCTGGAGTAGACAGGGCTTCCTCGATCGATGTCGGTTCATTATTCAACATATACGTAACAAAATATGGACCGGATGTTTTCTCAACTCTGACCCTTTTGCTACGACGAGGTTCAGTAACTCATGATCAAGAGTAATCACCCTTTTCATTTTCTCACCACGTAGTTTTTCGTCTACGGGTTCAGGATTGAGTTAGATCTTTTCTTTGTACGGGTAGATATTTTTTAAGAATATAACATTCCTCGATTCTATTGTTTCGGTCATTTCAGGAATATCCGATTTATGAACTATAAATCGATAAGCGCTACTATTCAACGCATATCCAATTAATACCTGAAGATAAAATTCCTCTGACTACATTGTATGAAGATAATACGTCTTGTATAACTAAATTGAAAGAGAGGCTATATTAAAGGAGATAGAACTAAACGCATTTCACCAAAAAAAAAAAAATCACTTATGATCTTCAACGTAATAGTGAATTGGTATGCAACAAATTCAATTGGATAATAATTTGGCAGATATATTAATCAAGGTGTTACCGACTACAACATTTGAAAAATTGGTAAAGAAAATTGGAATACATCGGTTAAAGGATCCCAAATAATGCTCAGATCATGGAGAGCGAATTAATACAAGAATGTTGTACTGTTTTTTCCTCACTAGTATTTTTTTCCCACAAAATTTTTTCTAATAAAGTTTGAACGAGACATATTTTTTGTATAAAAACATCCAAATAAAGGTGTTGTATACATATATACTACGTTGGATACACATAGCATTTTATAGGCATTGTGTATTACATTGATGTGGATGTTTATCATTGGTCAAAATTGCCTATATATATAGGTTTGGAATGAAACACACATTAATTCACTTTCTTAATCTCTATTTCTCGTCTGTCCACCCCCCCCTCTCATTTTCATCATTTTGTACTATCATTCATTATATACTATATCTAAATAATACTCCCTCCAACCGGTTGTAAAATTCTCGTTTGATTTTTATACGTGGATTAAAGTAGATTAGTATTATATAAATATGTAGTGTAATAAAGTAATGTAATGTATTTTACTCTTTAAACATAATATGAAAAAGTAAAATCATGAGTATATTAGTATTAATTGAGAGTTACTTTTTCTAAAAAAAGATGAAAATTTTTTATTTGTAAATACTAAAATAAAAATTGAAAATTTTAGTAGTTGACAGAAGAAGTATATATTATTGAATAGAGTACATATCTACAAACATATACTCCCTCCGTCTCATATCTATATATCTATTTGCTTTTTGTACGGAGTTTTAGAAATATCAGTCTTATATTGGGATAAAGTAAAAATAAAGGTAAAAAGACTAAATTAACCCTATTAGTATTGTATGATATAAAGGTCCATTTGTGTCATATATTGTAAATTAAAAGGGTATTTGTAATGTTAGGTAGATAGTACAATTACTAAAAAAGGAAATAGATACTTTGTTATGGGACAGACCAAAATGAAAAAATGGATAGATTGTTAAGGGACGAATGAAGTATAAAATTAGTCAATAAAAATATTAGGAATGGTTACGGTGATGCTTTATATATACAAACATCATATATTAGAACTATACACAGACATGTTGTATATAATAAAAGAATGTATTGTTTTTAAATAATAACAAGTGATTGTATACAAGTATATCACGTGCTAAAATCAACTATTGTGTGTTGTATGAAACTATAGCATGTGATGTTAGTTCATGTGTTGTATTTGTATTATATTAACATATATAATGTGTTGTCTGTAGTAATATTTTGTGTTGTTGAGAATATAACATGTGTTTATTGTTCATGTATTGTATTTGTATTATATTAACATATACAATGTGCTGTTTGTAGTAATATAATGTGCTGTCTAATAACACATGATGTGTCTATGGCCGCTGTAAAAAATATTACTCACTCCGTCGCACTTACCATGTCAATATTTTCATTTTTGTCCGTCTCACTTATTTTGTCACTTTTGTTTTTAGGAAAAAAATTATACATTGTAATCTTATTTTAAATTTTTTAATTTATAATTTTTTTAATTTTAATTAGATTAATGAGTTATCTTAATTTTAATATATAATTATTTTCAGTAATACATTCTTAATTATTTAGTAATTATATATATTTTTTTAAATTCATATATCTACAATAAAGTGGACAAAATATTCGAGACAAAGTGCGTAATTATTTCTACAGCTAATCACTATTTTATATATTGTATACTATATATATATGTAAGTGTGTATGTATATGTATATATTAAGTAGTGTATATTTTGTGTACATAAATACATAGTATTATATTCCCTCCGTCCCTTTGACAATTTATCCATTTTTTCACTTTAGTCCGTCCCATAACAAAGTATCAATTTTATTTTTTTAGTAATTATACTATCTACATAACATTACAAATACCATTCTAATTTACAATACACAAATGTCATTACCTTTATATCATACAATACTAATAGAATAGAGTTAATTTAGTCTTTTTATCTTTATTTATACTTTATTTTTATATAGTACTAATATTTCTAAAATTTAATGTAAAAAATAAATGAATATATAAATATGAGATATAAGTGTTAAAGGTGTTTTTATTTTGTATTTTGAATGAAAGAAAAAAATTTCAATGTAAAACAAAAAAAATTTATATAAATAATATAAAAATAATAAATATACTTTGTTTTATGAAAAATATGTTAGAAAATTATTTGAAAAAAAAAAAAAAAAAAAAACAAATCGTTATGCTCTTCGATATTGATAATTAATTTCAAAATATTAGAAAATGTGTATAGAAACCCACACCCGTACCAACATCTTCTCTCTCTATCGAGGGGCAACTCAGTATAAATTAAATTAATCTGCCAACCGAGGAACCCTAGTGGCCATTTTGCGAATGGAAAATTCGAGCCATAAACGAAGAGATAGAGAATCCTCCAAAGACCACCACCACCACCACCGCCGATCCAAGCACGATGACGACCGCCGCAGATCCGACGACCACCATCGCCGTCGCTCAGATCGGGACGAGCGAGGAGGGGATGGAGATCGCCGCGAGCGCGAGCGGTCTCGTTCAGTGGAGAGGAAGAAGAGGAAGGATAGAGGTGAGAGTGAGGAGAGGAGCGATAAGAGGTCTAGGGTTTTTGAAGATAATGGAAAGGAGAAGCGTAGATTCGAAGATGCTAAGGCCATGGAGGATGATGGTATGGAAGGGAAGGGGGGTGGAGGCGAGGGTTTTGGGTTTGGACGGGACTCTGTAAAGAAGGTTGCCGAAGATGAGTGGAGGCATGATGGTCGTAAGGGTGGCAATGATGGCCCTGTTCCCAATGTGAGTTCCCTCTCATCGATTTACTGCTTTGATTTAATCGGACTGTTTCAGCATGGTTTTTGATATTCGTTCATTTCCAATATGAGATCCAATGGTTGTGCAATTACTCTGTATTTTTATCGACGTGAGTTAACTGGCAAAGATCCGTGGTTGTCTTGGTTGGTGTGCGCGTGTATATAATTGCTTACAAGAGATGTTGGATTTTACTTGCTATACGTTTTAGTAGTTAACTAGTATGTTAATGTTGAATTGATATTTGACTTGGCTGCGTGCCTTACTGTGTTTGGATTTTCTTTTGACAATCTGATGTCCAGTTGAAACTTTTACTATGAGTAGAGTACATTAGTTGGACATTGACAGTGGGATGTCTCGATTTTGGGTCTGCCACTGTGTTCTTGCCAGCTTACAGATGAGTGACATGTGATCTCATTTGCTGATTGGTACTTGAAATAGATCTATGCATCCGAGTCTGGGGGGCTGTCGGGGTTTGTCTTGAAATGAAGTGATCGGGATTATGAAGTCTTTGTGTATATGATCCCTTTGCATATGTCTTAATTTCTAACCTTAGGCGATTTTAATGAATTTCACTTTTTTATGTCTTTTAAAGTGAAAAATAATTTCTTAACTATGTTAGGGAACCATTCCATGGCCAAAATGCGAGAACAAAAATTCTGTTGTGAAATAAAGTTCCTATTAGGCAATTTAGATTATTATTACTGATTGTTCAATCAACAATTCTTTTTTTTTTTTTTTTATGTCAATTTTTTTTTTAATTATAAACTGGTCAAATATCTCTTATTATCTGTTCAAGCGAAGCATGTAATGTAGGCTATAAAAGTTATTTAGAGCATACAGCTCAACTTGGCCAAATTGTGACAACGAAAATTCTGTTTTTGTGAACTAAGTTCCTAACTCTCAATTCAGAATATTGTAACTTAATTAAATGTCCTTTTTTTTTTTTTTGTTCGTTTGATGCTTATGATATTGTTTATGAATGTCATTTCAAAACTGACAAGTTAGCTAGTTGCTTTTTCTTTAGTTAGTGAATGCCATTGTCGGTTCCATTGTATGAAACAAATATGATGATTTGTACTCTGAAGTGATTTTCCCCTTTTGAAAATCTTTATTTTCTGACTTCCTACTTTTTCATTTTCTTGTTATCTAGGCATATTGATCTATTTGCTGCTGGGTCTACCTTGCATGCTTGTGTGTGTGAATGTTGGTACAATTAGCCTGATACTTAGTACATTTAAGTGCTGTTGAATATACAAAGTTCCATTTTCTGAATTTCCCTTTTAAGATGAGTCTTGTCATTTTCTTTGCATTGCTTTAGTCTGTAAGTATCATTGCTGTACGTTTTGTTGGACCTCTGCTAAGTTAGTATGTATTTACACCTGACTTTCTGATAATCTTCTATCAGAGTAATGCTACTGGGCCAATGACTACTACATCTGGCAGTTTACCTGAGACTTCTTTGGTTCATAAAGAATATCCTGCTTCTAAGGTATCTTCGATTTCCAAGACAAATGAAAATAAGGGAGTTAATATTAACAGATCTCATGAGGTTCCTGGGAAATCCAGTACAGATGGGACAGCTTCAGATGCCAGCAAGAGTGGTGGTTTGTCCCTTGATGCTTTAGCAAAAGCTAAGAAAGCTTTACAAATGCAGAAGGAACTTGCAGAAAGGCTAAAGAAAATTCCTCTGGTAAGTTCCTTTACTTATAATTTCCTTGCATGCTTTGTGAAGATGCCATATCATGATGAGGATGCTGGTAATGGGGGAATTTTACAATTTTGAGTCTCATTTGGTTACCAATTCTGAAGATTTACCTTTTCTTTTATATTGTGTAGCTGAAGCGAGATACTGGTACGACGGGAGAAGGCAGTTCAGTTGTTGGTGAGAAAGAGGCTTCTAAAGCTTCTTCCTCTGGTCAAGGGATATTACCAACCCCTCCAGTAACTTCTTCAGCTGTGACTCCTTCTGCAGCCTCCGCTTCACTTGCTGATAGTTCTGATATTAAACCACAGAGTGGTTTGCCTCATATTCCAGAACTCACTGCACAAAAATATGAAGCTGTAAAACGTGCACAGGAGCTAGCTGCAAAGATGGGATTTCGGCAAGATCCAGAGTTTGCTCCCCTTATAAATATGTTTCCTGGGCAGTTGCCTCCTGAAGTTACTGTTCAAGCAAAGCCTTCAAAAGCACCTGTTCTCCGCCTGGATGCACTAGGCAGAGAAATAGACGAGCATGGCAATGTTGTCAATGTACCAAAAGTGAACAGCTTGAGTACACTCAAGGTAATAGGGCTGCTAAGATGTTTGTTCTAAGACTATCAAGTCATACAAGGAAAAAAGAGTTAAAAGTTGCTTTGTTATGCTTCAACTTCACTGTTTTTGTACTTCACTTGCCATTTATTTTTTCTTATGCCCTAGGTTAACATTAACAAGCAAAAGAAGGATGCCTTTCAAATTCTAAAACCTGAGCTTGAAGTAGATCCTTCTAAAAACCCTCATTTTGATGAAAGAATGGGACTTGATAAAAATAAGATATTGAGGCCTAAGAGGATGACCTTCCAATTTGTTGAGGAAGGCAAGTGGTCAAAAGATGCTGAAATTATAAAATTGAAGGTATATTCTTCTTCTTCATCTTCTTTTTTAGAAACCTTTATCTGGACCCAGGTGTTGATCTTGAAATTGGTTTCTCTAGTCTCAATTTGGTGAAGCAAAAGCCAAGGAGCTAAAGGCGAAACAAGCACAACTGGCTAAGGCAAAGGCGGAACCTGACATAAACCCAAATTTAATTGAAGTGGGTGAGAGGGTAATCTCCAAGGAAAAACCAAAGGAATCTATTCCTGATGTCGAGTGGTGGTAAGTCAACCTTTTGTTGTGTCACATGATTTGAAATAAAGAATTAGACAGATTTCAGTGAGTACCAATCTTTATTGCATGTTAATGTTTAACTTGGTCATAATTTTAGGAGTTGGCCCCATGGTGGACACATATATATATAATTCTTTTCCTTAAGATTCTATGTTGTATTTGTATCTTTAGAAAACAGCTGCAGTATGCAGCCTAATCTTGATATGGGGGACATTGAATATCTAGTATAGTATACTGGCACTAATTGAGCTTCTTTTTATATTGAAGGGATGTACCTTTTCTGCGATCTGGTATGTACGGAGATATGGTTGATGGCGACATAAATGAAGAGAATATTAAAAAGGAGAAGATCACCATATATGTTGAACACCCTCGACCTATTGAACCTCCAGCTGAAGCAGCACCTCCTCCACCACAACCTTTAAAGTTAACAAAGAAGGAGCAGAAGAAACTCCGCACACAGCGTAGATTAGCTAGGGAGAAGGAACGGCAGGAGATGATTAGACTTGGCGTAGTGGAACCACCAAAACCTAAAGTCAAAATGAGTAATCTGATGAAAGTTCTTGGTTCGGAAGCGACCCAGGATCCCACAAAACTTGAAATGGAAATACGAAGTGCTGCAGCAGAGCGGGAACAAGCACACATCGACAGGAACATTGCTCGCAAGCTCACTCCAGCTGAGCGTCGCGAGAAGAAAGAGAGGAAACTATTTGATAATTCTGATACACTGGATACTATCGTCTCGGTATACAAGATTAATGAACTTTCCCATCCGCAGGCTCGTTTTAAGGTTGATATTAATGCCCAGGAGAACAGGCTGACTGGATGCGCGATAATATCAGAAGGGATTAGCATTGTTGTTGTCGAAGGCGGCGCTAAATCAATCAAGAGATACGGGAAGCTGATGCTTAAGAGGATCGATTGGGCTGCTGCTGCTGATGCGGTTAAAAAGGAGGACGATGACGATGAAAATGATGATGATGAGGATGATAAACCTATTAACAAGTGTTGTCTTGTCTGGCAGGGAAGTGTTGCTAAGCCAAATTTTAGTAGATTCTTTGTCCAGGAATGCAGGACCGAAGCAGCTGCTCGCAAGTTCTTCTCGGACCATGGAGTTGCTCATTATTGGGATCTTGCCGTGAACTTCACTGACGAAGAAACTATCTGATGTCTGCGGGTGTGGTAAGTGTCTTTTGATTCAGTTGCCGTGTTGTCTTTTGATTTGGTTGTAATAAAAGTCGATGATTCTTCTGCATACGACAGAAGGAATGATTATGCAACCCGTATTGCAATCAGTGTGTGTGTAGCTTGTAATGTTGACGACTTTGCGTGCCTTGTTTCTTATGGAACTTAAAAATTTTGAATTAGAAATGTATCTTTCAAGGCTACCTACCGATCCAGTTTTTGATTTGTTAAAATGTTTGTTTAAGTTGAAGTATGAGTAGGGATGATTCGGTACCGTATACCGTACCGAAATTGTCATACCGTATATCGTACTGAACTATTCGGTATGTTAAAAATCATATCGATACTGTACTGAAATTTTTGGTAATACCAAAATTTTTGGTAGATGGGCGGATCCGGTGAGGTAGGCGGGCGGCGGACGCTGTGGGTAATAGTCTCTTGTGACTATGTGACTGCCTGTGACGTAATTTGGAGTTTTAAGAATAATTTAGAATTTAGGGTTACAAGTTTTCTGCTAATTTTGTTCCTTAGTCTTATTCCAGACTTTCTGATGGATATTTTTTTTAAAATATAAATAAAATATATTTATATTAATAATTAAATTATTTAATTAAAATTTTATCGATACGCTTTAATACTGAAATATCGAATTTTTTGAAATTCTATATCGATATCATACCGAAAATCGAAAATTTACCGAAAGTTTTGGTATATCGAATCTTTTGGTATTTTGGGTATGTTAATTCTATCTCTAAGTATGAGTAGCAAGCAAGGCAAAGGCAATTATTAGCAAGTGTTAGTGCTCTCTCTCTTCTCTTGTTGTTTAGGTTAGGGTTAGGGTTAGGATTAGGAAGAATCATAACTAAATAAAATAGTAGTAATTGTAGATCTCTTCTGAATTCTATTTAGGGTTAGTCTTGCAATGCATGGTGTTGAATTGAATGTTTTACCACTTATTTGTTACGATAGGCAAAGAATAAATATTAAATTACTAGCTCCTGCATATGGATGCTTTTAAAATCATTTATTTTACTCTCTCTCTCCCTCCCTCTCTCTCTCTCCCTCTCCCTCCGTCCCATCCCATATACCGTGTCTGCTACACTGTAGATACGGTATTTTAGGATGGGTGTAATTAGTAGATAATATAATTAGTAAAAATAATTATTTTATAATATAAAATAATTATAAATTAAAATTAAGACAACTAATTAGTTTAATTAAAATTAAAAAAAATAAATTAAAAAGTTTAAAATGATATTAAAGTGTGTAATCATTTTTCAAAAAAGAAAAGTAATATGGAACGTGGGACGAATATAAACGGCAACGTGGACATAATATGTGGGACGGAGGGAGTATATTATTATTATTACAAAACAGCTCCAAGATTGTTGGATTAATTTTTATTTTGTTTTTATCATTTATATTATGTGTGCTAATAAATATATATAGTAAAAATCCAATTTGTATATATGCATATATATATTTATAATTTAATATGGAAATCAATAAAAGATTTAAACTTATAATATCAGTCACAAGTTCAACTTCACGTCACACATTCTGCCATTAAAAAATATTATTGAAAAATGGAAATTTCCATAAATTTTGAATTTATTTTGTTAATTATTGAAAAATTGAATGATCAAAATACTATTATTTATATAATTATTTTATTACTGTATTTTTTAACTAGAGAAATATATGTATTTTAAATATAAATTATACATAATGAAAAAGATATAAATCAGAATCACTACACTTTAGTATTTAGAAAAAGTATATATATATATATATATTTTTTTTCTCAAAAATATTGCAATACAATTATTTGTTAATGTAATAATTAATTTTCATTTAAAATATTGCATAAATATTCACTAATATTATATCAAATAATTATTTGTGAGTTTTTAAGTTAGATTTTATTATTTTATTTTTTTAATTAAAAAATATCAAATCAAACACTTATTTTATTTATTATTATAAAATTAAAATTTAATTTTACATTAAAAAATAAACATCAACACGTATTTATATAAATTAAAACTATTTCAATTTAAAATTTTATTATTCAAAATAAAAAGAAGAAAAGTAAAAACTAATGCAACAAAAAATTACTCTATTTAGTTCTAGCAAAAAACTATAATAAACAATATTCATCCACGCATAGTTTCTAATAAAAATATACAATATTTTTGTACAAAATATTATATTAAAATATTCACTTCGTCCCAAAAAAGATGTAATAGTAAGAGTGAACACGAGAATTACGAAATAATAGTGTGTAATTGAAAGTAAGTATAAAATATAATATAAAAACTAAAATACCTTTGTTTTTTTTTAAGTTAAAAAAATAGGTTAAAAAAATAATTAAAGATAATTTTGAAAAAGAAAACAAACAATTGTTTTGAAATGTATCAAAATAATAAATAAATAAATAAAATAATTCTTTTAAAGACAACATTATTTAAATTCAAATTCAAATTTAAACTGCACAAACCAAAAAAATTGCCATGGATCATATGCTGATCAATTTAATTCAGCACTAAGCTGAATACCGTAAAATATTTATATTAATTTATCTCATTTAATTGTATTATTAATATAATTCAGCACCAAGCTGAATCCGGTAAAAATATTTATATTAATTTATCTTGTATTATTAATATATTTAAGATAATTTATTAGTTAATCAACACATTGTTGAAATAATTATTTCAGCATCCAATTCACAAAAAAAAAAAAAAAAAAACCACAAAACCAAACATTATAAGTGTGTTTAGCACATAGAAATGAGTGAGGTCAGAAAAATAGAAATGATCTCATTTATCTTATTTATTTGAATCAGGAAAATGGAACTTGAGAAATTCTCTATTTTTATTTTTCTCCCACGTGGATGAGGGAGAAAAATAGTATTACAATATATATATTTTACTTTTTTACTATTTAATTTTTATATTGTTTTTCTTTTTTTAAATTACATTATTTTAATTTTATAAAAATCAAATTTAATTTACTGTTAAAGTATTTATTTTTTACGATTTTGTGAAAAATTGTACTAAAATATAACTCGAACCGGGGTTTGAAACCAAACCTCTCCTCAGGAGGATAGATGGGGCGGTTCACTGAGCTTCTTGGCCGATTCTGGAAAAGCCTGGTCCATCCTCGTCTCTAGAAAAAACTATTAACAAACATCATATATAATTTATAATTTTTTTAAAAAAAGTCACAAAAATATTTTTCATGAATTTTCATTTGTTAATTTTTTTTATTGATTAATTATTTATTCTTATTTGATCTATTCATATATATATATATATATTTTTCAACTGAATTTTCTGTTTTAACAAGATAATTAATTCTAATCCTTTGTTCAATTTCATGTACCAAACGATCTAAATGTAATAATAATTAGTGGTGGGACCCTCACCATTTTTTTTGAAAAAAAATTACACGTCGTTCGTCCCCAAATATATATATATATATGATATATGTTAGATTTGATTAGACTTAATCAAGTCTCAGGGCGCACTTTCGAGACAGTGACAGCGGATTCCCAAATCATTAAAAAAAAAAAAAAGAAAATTACAAAAAAATTTTAGAAAATAAAAATAAAAAGTAAAAATATTCCATATAACTCATTCCAAATATTTGGATTTTCATAAAAGTATGAAAGGATAGTAGAGATGTCCCAGCTTGGACATAGACTACGGTAGGGGCAAATGATAAAACCATTTTGTATCATAATTTTTGTATATATTTATGTAATTAATTATTGGCTTTTCTATTATTTTATTAGCTATTTAAGTTAGTTTATGTAATTTTAGCTTTATTGTATTTTTGGTGTAATATCTTAATTTATGTGATTTTTTTAATATTCATGTTAATTTATATTTAATTTAATGGCATTTTTTTAAGATTAAATCTAATTTAAATAATTGACTATTCAATACTTGAAGTTGGCTCTTTTTCTTTTAATATATATATATATATATATTTAGTTAAAATATGTTTATTTTTCTTCCGTTAGTTTTATTGCTATCTTGGGTTAGTTTCTTCTACTACTACTACTACTATTATTATTATTATTATTATTATTATTATTATTATTTTAATAATATATTCTTATTTATGACTTTCTTTATTTATTGTTGGTTTTTAATAATTATTCATTCTAATCATACTAACTATTTTTTAAGCTTGGCCATTAAAATTTTGTTGATGGTGGAAAATATTATGAAAGCCGTAAGAAATTCGTCCGAAATATGAAGTCAACCATCAAGTCAGTGGTCAACCTAATGAAGTCAACGATATTTTGATTTCTTATGTCGTAAAAATTAATAAAAGATTTTGGAATAAGCTATTTGTAACCGTCGAGCTTTTAGCTTCCTCAAATCTCTATGAATACCTCTCTCTCCACCTTTGATTTTAGACACATCACCGTACTCCAGAACACAGCCCATATTTTACTCCGATCCATTTTCGGCTAGCCACCTCTTATCTCACCAATCTTGTCTCAATCTCACTCTATTTGTTCCATCTCTAGTCTTCCATGTTTAGTCTAATTTGTAATAAAACACGAGCTAGTTGGCTCGTCATATTTTTTATATTTGTATTATTTATTTGTCATACTTTCACTTATGATTGAGATTTTAGTTTCATAATAATTTGAATCTATAGGACAAATATAAGTTGGTTAGCCAAATCTAATTAGAAGGTTCCAAAAGGATATCACACTACTGGTAGACTCAGGACCTATCTCAAAAGTGACTTGTTGAGCTCAATTCAAATTAAAATATATGGTAAAAAGGTAGAAGGTCACAACGGTAATGCCCCGATTTCGAAGTGTATAAAATAATATTATTATAGAAAATAAATATTTTTATAATATTTTGAGATCAAGAAGTTAATGTTTTGAAATTAATGTTATTTATATTTTATATATTGATTATGATTGAAAAAACTATTAAACGGATGGTATTAATAAAAATAAATATAATAATGTAATAATATAATAATAATAAGAAGAAGAAATAAGGATGGATGATGATAACGTTGTTGATAATAATAATAATAATAATAATAATAATAATAATAATAATAATAATGTTAAATAATATAATATATATATATATTTAATTAAGCAACAAAACCCATTTACAAAGACGCAGAAGCAGAATGCCAAAGGAAAGAAAGAAACGCAGACAAG